GCGCACTCTTTGAAGCACAAGGTGGAAGTTGTAGCTTGCGATGGTCGAACGGCCAGGTACAAACACCTTAGAGCGCAACAAACACACTCCGGTGGGAACGCAGGGGACGCAAGTTTCGGCCACATAAACTGCCAGAGGAAATAGTTAAGAGGAGACCAAAAACATGCGAGTCAGGTCCGATACCGACGGTCGCATAGCTACAAAGGTCATAGTGAATAAGTGGTTTTGACAGGTTTCCGGGTTGCTAAGTAGGGGACCCGATTGCCTGAACAAGAGTCGCAATGGTCTAGCTTATCACGATCCTACTTATCATCGGAGACGAGAACAGAGGAAGTTAGATGTGAACAGATCGCTGCAGTATGTTTGAGAAGTGGTCGTAATGATGATAGTAGTAATAATGATAGCAGCAGTATTCAATGCCGGTTTACAGGCGTTACCAGAAAGAATACAGCATGGATCGATCTGGTAGCGAAAAAACTCCTGAAGAAGTAAATATAAGTGGTAAGGTTTTTGGTAGTTTGAGTAGTTCAGGTGAAAAAAACTACAGCCCGTGAAATAGCATCATTCCAGGAGGGGAATGGTTAACACTGCATCGGATGTTCTCAGATTCCACTCCTTTTCATGAAATTGGGACTGCACAGGGGATGCATGGGCGAATACTTGCTCGCTGTCGACTGGAGAAACTATCCATAATGTTTCAGGCTTCAGATTCAGCACCAGTTTCCACAAGCTGAGTCGAGGCAGATGAATTAGAGACCCCGTACTGCATCATTACGGAAGACTAGTTCGATGGATTCAGCACGCAAAAGTTATGGAATTTTTCCTGACTAAAGATGTCGCATGACCGCTAATTGGTCGGCCGTATTCATATTGGTAGCTCCTGAAAAGATATCACGAGGATCTTGATCGATGTGATTGTAGTTTTACTCAAGTTCTAATCGTAGTTCTAATTTAAGCGTGGCTAAGTAAGCAATTCTTGAGCTAAAAGTTTGTGCGTTGTTTATTGAGAAGCCGGAAGAAGAAAAGGGAGAATCGTAACAGTGGACTCATAAGAGAGTCCATAGTCCCGAGGGACCAGACAAAATTTGAAAAATGCCTCGGTCAATCAGCGACCGCCTTTGTAGCTCTGTTGAGGACTGTGCGGGTTCTGTGTGCGGATAGGTGATTGGCATGCCAATTGGTCGTGTTCTCGAGAGAGTTCCAACCGCAGTTGCTTTCGGAATCTAGAGGGCGTGAGTAGTGACTTTTTGCTGCTGACGTCACACAAACACCTCTAAAGTCGCGTTTGCTAATTACGGGTGCAAATGTTCCTCCATGTTGACCTTTGTAATTAGAAGCCTATTCAAAGCATGTGATTGAACTGATCGTGACAGCTTGCTCGCGGGGGTTAAAATGGCGCTCAGTTCTCTTGCAGCGAAGATCGGGCACCTTAGGAAAAACAATAGTCGGGTGGGGACCGTCAGTGCTTAGCGAGTTATGCTTATTTGTCTAACGAAGGAGTCACTTAGGACGGTATGGCTAATTAACTTATTTTAGCAAGGCCAAAACTAATGTGCTTTATTAAATTGCTCTTCTTGCGCGCAAAATGTAGGGAATGGAAGCGAAACGACGGAAGGCATAACGACCGCAGGTAAACATTAGAGAGAGCTGAAACGATGTAAGCCTTCCCGCTCTGCCCGAGCAGCTTGGTATTATTAACTGCACCAACTGTCCTTATGCTTACACAGGCTAAACCTGAAGAGAGCTGAGGTCAAACCTGCGCGAGAAACCACCTTTGCGATATGGGGAACAGGGCTCACAAGTTGTTTTCCTCAATCTCGAGACAGGTCATTCTTCCAACTACGACGCTGCCAAGGTACTCGTCTGGGCAGAACGCAGGATTAAACATGGACTGTGGAACCTGGAGTTCCGATAAGGACTTGATCGTTAAATATGCCAGTCTGTCCGCTGAGGACATTGCAAGCTAGAAATCGCGATCTGTAGCCTCGCGATAAACATGAAAGCCAAATTTAACCTTGACCAGACATGGCCTGCTATACTTAATGTCACTGTGTTTACAACGTGGTACTTAGTCCGTTATTTGCGTGGACAGGTCTTATGTGCTCCCAAAACTCGAGTTCACTCATTTGACACAAAATGTTACCATTTCGGCATCTCCGCGTTTCTTAACAAAATTCTTTTTTTTAATAAACGAAACAGTACGTTAAATATTTATTTTGTGTTTTCAGCCACCTGGACGCCATTCATTAGTTGTTTGTTGTTTTGATGGGTGAATTCGAACTGGTTTCAGATTTGCTAGTGATGTTTAGTTAATTTAGCCATACTATCGTTACAGGCCACATCGATATGTATTTATTCATTCACCTCATCCTGCGGAGCGGGATGCGTTGGCCGTACCACAAGGCGTCTGGAAAAGGAGGGTACACAAACACACACTAGCCCGGCCAGGTAAAAAGGAAAACCGATCGATTTCAGGCTCAATTCTAGCCCACCTAATCGATACGAGCCACCAAGGCAATGCCAAAGAAGCCTTTCCAGTTATCCGCCGGGCGCCAACGCACTACTATAAAGGCCGACGAAAACGGGTGCTATCAACAGCCGAGGCAGTGGTTATTGGGTAAGCGAATCCAGCACTCTGTTGTCAGAAGACGTTGACACAGGCAGTGTGTCTTCCCTGGTCGAATCCAGGTGGTGATCGCACACCGTCCCAACGTCAGTCACACGCGCTCCGCGTGTTTGACATACCAACAGCGTCCAAAATCTAACCAGAACCTCTCCCCAGCTCCCCCCACCCCCCTCTACCCCAGCTCCACCGTCCTCAGCACGCTGACTCCGTCTTGTAGGAGGCAGGGGACAACGAGTATAACCAACCCGGTCTCCCGAAACACAAAGCTTAGAAGTTCATTATCCATGTAATTGTAGTGGGCTGATGATGAATTAAAGAAAACATGTGTTTGCAAACCAAATTTTTGATTTAGACACTGTGCAATTAGTAAATAGAACACCCAGAACAGTTAACATGGAGGCCAGTGAACAAGCGCTACAGAGCGAGCGTCAAGAAGTGCTTGAAATAACCCTTGATGGAAGATTATGTGCTCAATTCGTGGGAATTTTCGGGGAAGAAACAAATTTACTGTGAAGGGGATGGGAGCGAATGAGCGTGTGAATCGACCGCCCTGCTTACTGCAAGCATATGTGCATCTAAAGTCCTCTGGTAAGAAAGAAAGTAGAATACTGAGGAAAAAAAACAAACATAAAACATGGATGCGGTGAAAGCGACCACAATCGATAAATCCACTGACGAACTACGAACGGCCCCAGTCCACTTACGAGGCAAAAGGGGAAGTGGAAGACTGCGAATTACACCTCCGCAGAAGACGGTCTCCGTGAACGAGTAAACATTCACATACCCTAGGAGTCGTGGTCAGTTTTTGGGAAGGGTTCCGGATGGAAGCATGAAACGCGTGAAAAGCTTTATTAGAAAACTGCCCGTGAAAGGAAGTCTTAAATGTCGGCAGGACTTTTTAAAAGTTAGAGTGCTAAACGCTGAGAAAGGAAGCTCAGCAATGAAGACCTCATGGGTCTGAGTCAAAGCGCCACCAATTTCGGCGCCCTAACGGTGTTAGTTTCTGTGGCAAATATAGTTTCTACCGCATCCCTTAATAAAATTGGTCCCCTGAAAGAGTGCACTTAGGAGGTCTAGAAGACAACTCATTCAATCTTTTTTTTAATTACGTAAGTTTCTCCTTTGCACCTGGAGTGCAGAAAATATATAAATATACTTTGAAGTTGAAATGCCTGTTTTCAGGACAGGTAGTAGCTAAGAGCCCGAGCAAGTGATTCGCCGTGGAGCCACGCTCCGGCCTTCAATCGATGCCTGTGATGAAAGGACGGCACGTCAACCTCATTGTAGGATTTTATCACTCGTGACCGTCCGCTGGCAGACTGTGAGCACGACGCCGTTGATGAAAGAGTGTACTCACCGATCACGTCCCGTCTCGAACTCTGCCAGCAGCCGCATATCGCCTCGTTCTATAGGCATAATGCTATTACCGACAAAGACAAGCGAGACTGGTACAGCCATTTCTGGCTTATCGGCCATCATCGGCCGGTCGTGGCCAACTCCGAAGTGTGCAATTCCCGGGAATTGAACTCGCAGCCTGTTGGCCAGAAGTCCAGCGTCCTAACCACTAGGCCACGGGCTCATTGTCCTGTCCTGTCTCTCATACAGACCATAGGATATCGATCCAGTGGTTCAGTAGGTAGGACGTTGAACTTCTAACCGACAGGTGGCGGGACCAAGCCTCAGGGGCTGCAAAATAAAACCCAGTGCCGGGTACAGCCGACTGATGGTGACCATTGCAGTCTCCCTTGTATTTGTTGGTGATGTCATTTTGCCTATGACATCGGTAACCCACTGAAGTTGATGAAAATCAATTCCCGGTCGAGCCTGAAAATGCTATTCCCAAGAAAACTTCAAGCTCAGAGGTTTATTTTTTTATGAAATTCAATGTCTCTAGCCAGCAAGTATGCTATCTCTCTCCGATTTCCCGTTTTTTTGCTAAGTTTAAAGCTTCCGAAGGATCTTCCTGAAAAGTTGGATCGATAGTATTTCATCAAATGTTTTTTGTCAACAAATATAATTCATTTTCATGGACCGGGTAGGCAGGTGTGTTATGCGTTTGCCGGTCATCCTGTATACCCACTTTCTTGAATGAACCTGACTCTACTAGGGTCTATAACAGGCCAATTGCATCGTGACTTCATTTCCGCTGCATCAGAAAGCCACTCCTCTTCAAACATGACACAAAGGAAGCAACCTGTCCTGTCTTGATATGCAATTCCGCCCCAAAGTGGCCAGACAGCGCGAAGACTACCACCTTAAGACGTCCACTCGTGGGGCGAGAGAGCGACAGGGAGTGCGCGCGAGGGGAGAGGGGGGGCATGAGGGAGAGAGTGAAAGAAGAAGAAGGGATGGAGTGAAAGAACGCAATCTTGCATCAGCGGGAGGATGCCAGACGAGTGACTCCGCACAGTCTCCCGCCAAGAAGGAGGACGGCAGAGCGCTCGAACAGTGGGCAAAATGCCAGATCGACGGTGCTGACCTCGACGACGCGTACACGCGCATTTCGGGTGACCCGCGTGGCCTTTGGGATCCAGTCAAAATACGTGCAAGAGAGAGCAGTAAAAAGTAGAAGGATGGGGAGGGACGCAGAGAATGATTGGAAGTAGAGGAGAAAAAGGGAGGAGGACAGGGAATAGGAGCAAGAGGAGGGCCGGGAGGCGGTGGAGGGAGAAGAAGAAGATGAGGGGCGGGGAGGATGGGGGTTGAGGGGTGGAGCATAGGGAGGAGAGCAGGAGTAAAGGGGAGGCATAGGTGGTGGTAATGGTGGTGGAAGAGGGAGAGGAGGAGGAGGAGGAGGAGGAGGAGGAGGAGGAGGAGGAGGAAAGATTCACTGAACCTAGTTTTTCAACTGACAGCTGCGTTAACAGTCCAACCCATCCAAGAAACTAGTCTGCCTTAAACACATGGCAAGTTTTTGCGCTCGTAATATTTAGCAAGCAACAGGTAAATGTACATTCTTTGGAAGGCCGCAGAAGTACGCCAACCGCCAGTTAACCAATCAAAATAAACGTGTCTGCTGTCTGCATGGATGACTCAGCCATGGCGCTGGCTCTTAATCTGATCTTCCACGTTGAGGCTACTAAAAATAGAAATAAGACGCTCGCGGACCGGCTGTATTAATTTTCGGGAATGTCTTTGAAAAACTGTCCAATTTTTGTAAAGAGCCACGATTTATTATTTAATAACTGTTTGAGAAGAACAAATGTAGAGCTATTTTCACAATGATTCCTCCCTTCGGGTCACCTTTATTACCCAAGCTATGACTGTTTAGGCAAGGAAAGGGTGTATAGCTATTGGAATGATAGTAGCTTGTG